CTTTATCACTTCATCATTGTTGTTGCTTACAGTTTTGCCACTGTTCTTTAGGTCATGCTGACTTTTTTTCCCTAAATTTTAAGTCAAGCATTTTGTAAGATAATCAAAATGGAAAATTCCAGAAGTTCTCATTTCAAATCATAGGCCCATTTGTTCTCTTTCAAACATTTTCTATTTTAAAATTGTCCCTTCAAGATAAAACCACACAATATGTGACTTTGGAAAAGTCACTTGATTTCCCTGAGCCTGTTTCCTTATCATAGGAATAATAATCAACACTCCTTTCAAAAGGATGTTGTGAGGATGAAATAAAATTATGTGTATGAAAGCTCTTAAGGGTTATACACACCTTATCATTGCCATTGCCTTAAGTCCAGATCACAACAATACTGACATGCAACACGAATAGCTACCTAAAACAGAACAGCCTCACTGTTGGACCTTTCTTTAAAAGGTTATACTGCTATATTTAGAGCTTAGCCATTTTCTCCTCCATATTTTTTTTTCTTGTTTCCCACAGCCCTCCATTCCTTGAGTCAGTGGCATTTACCTCCTCAGGGGGCGGGTAGGTCAGCCCAGTATGGGGAATCCCCGGGCAGAAGGGGGGCCTGGCTCCCCAGAGTGTGGACCTCAAGGAGAAGCCATGTCCAACACAGCATCTGGTGGTAGCATTACAATGTCTGAGGGAGAAGTCCAGGCCGAGGGGCCTGAGAAGGGCCTGAGAAGGGCCTGTGGAGGCCTGGACATCCCAGCATAGTGTGGAGAATGCATCCAGAAACTCCTCAGGTCCCCAGAGGGATGTGGAAAGGACTGAGCGGATAACAGAAGAGCCCCAGCAGTTTGCAAAAAGTGGATGCAATTTGCAGGTGAGCAGCGTCTGTGGCTAAAACCCAAGGCAGATGAAACCTCAAGATGGGAATTGCCATGAGGAGAGAGGACAGCTGAGGAAGCTGGCCTCCAAAGACTGCCCTCCATGAAACCACACCTCCTGACAGTTATGGCCCTGTGTAATCCCTCTCCCACATTGTATGTAGGTTGGCCCTATCACTCACTTTAACCAAGAGAATAATGCAGAAGTAACACTGACAGTTCCAGGCCAAAGTCTTAAGAAAACCTGGTAGCTTTTACTCATACCCTGGTGGAAGTTGGCTGCTATGTGAAAAGCCCAGGTATCCTGCTGGAGAGAGAACCCCTGGAGGGGAAGACACTGCTTGTGCAGACAGACCACATGGAGGAGTGCCAAAGTTCTAGGGCTGTCCTAGACCAACCAACTTAGGACTGTCAGGAACAAACCTGTAGTCTGACACAGTCAGGTTTATGGACTCATGGCAGTGAAACAGGCCACAGTCCAGAAGAACTGTGGGGCAACTCACCAAAGGTGGACTATATATGCATATAGACTATATATGCATTATATGAAGAGGGATGAGGGGGCTCAAGGAGGATGAGTGAGTTTCAGTATTCCAGCCCAGTTACAAATTGAAACATTGGAGATCTGCTAAGGAGCCGGGCAATGGGATTATGATGATACTGTGCCTGGCTGGCCCAGGAAGTGCCAAAGGATTCAAAGCCATATATAACATTCCAGTTCTTTCAATGGTTATCTTTTAGAAAAATTGGGATGCCATATTTCACAGACCATAAATTTGCATACCATAAAATTCACCACTTAAGAATAGCAAATAAATGATTTTAGTATTGAATCAAAAGTTCGATAGGCTCAAAGCAAAGCAGGCTCTGTGTAAAGGACTCAACATCAGATCTGGACTATGAAGTGGACCCCAAGGTCCTATTTCCTGGAATGCTATAAAGTTATGATAGATGGAGAAATCTGTGTCCAGAAACTCTGCATCGGCATTGCAAACCAAGGCTGTTTGGGCATGTCACGCTTACTGATAAATGTTTTTGATAATCTATGATTTTAGAAAACAAAGTTTCTCAGGAGTAAGAAAGATGGATGTTCGGCATTTCCAGTTGCATTGTGTCCTTGGATAAAATATTTCCTTCTGTTAACTTTGCATCTGGCTTTATCCACATCTCTTATTCTAACTTGATGAATGGCTAGGCAGATTTTTACATTCTTAGCCTGAGCTAATTTTTACTTTCTCAGAGCAAAAAATGCAACTCAGAAATTCCAGCCCAGTGGGGCCTCTAGAGGACCCGGTTCCAGCTGCCATTTGATGGCAACTGCAAGAAAGACTGTTAGTGAAGTAAGGAGAATCAGCTGAGCCTCGCCAACCTGCAAAGCTGCAAGAGAGAAGGTCTTGTATTTAGCCACTAAGTTTGGGGATGGTTTGTTACACATAGATTACTGAACCAGTCATGCTTGAAGCAGACCTCTTCCGTGATGGCAGGGTAAGGACTCCCCCCACCCCCCGCTGTCCCCAAATGAGATCATCCTCAGGGAAGAAGGAAACGGGAGAGGAATGAACCTAAGGTAGATGAAGCACTTAGAAGAGACGGAGTATTACCCTCTGGTGAGAAGTCAGAGAGCGGCTACCCCTGGGGAATGGAGGGTTGACTCTGGGTTGCTGGACATGCTATATATCTTGATCTGGCAGCGGCCACACGGATGCATACCTACGTAAGAATTCATCAAGTTGTACAATTATGATAACAAGCAGAAGTGGAGCTCATGGGACGCCTGGGGGGCTCAGT